GAACTAAGAAAAACATAAACATATAAAAATTTATATATATATATATATGAATATATAGACATTTGCTTCTCAGCTTAACTCTTTCTTGACCACAACAGACCAGAGCACTACCCTCATTACTGAGGACAAGGCCTCAGTTTGTTGATCCATCTCCTGTTCGATCCTACCATCCCATGTGAACAAGACCTCGAGACTCCTGAACCTCTTCACCTGAGGCAGAGACTGATCCCCAACCCTGAAGCAGTCCAAAGGATTCCGCATTTTTTCGGATGAGAAGCATGGTCTATAATTTTGAAGAGCATGACTTATTCCAGCCATTTCATGCTCAGCTGCAAACTGCCTGATTGCGTGCTAAAGATCATTTCAGACACATATACAAATATTCTTTATCATCATACGATGATGCATGTGGTGCATGTGATGGAACAAAATTATGTACACAGGGTCCCAGTTACATCCAACAATAAAATGCAAAAGAAAAACAGTAATAAGATCTAAGATATGAACTAAGAAAAACATCAGCTAAAAATATGCTAAGCACTAATAGCATCAAAACAATAAAAACAATACACTGAACAGCAGCATGAACATGAGTCTGAGTGAGCAGATGAGTACGAATGAACACAGCAACATGAAATAGATCAGCAGCAACACGAAATAGATCAGCAGCAGCATGATGTGATTTTTCACAGTGATTATCCTGGTTAGATATTCATGAGTCTAACAGTACATTTCCAGTAGACACCAACATTTATAAAATCAGGGATGAGGCCCTGAAGTTCTCAGACCCTTCACCCTCCTCTCCATGACTGCACCATGTGCTACTGCCTGTGAACACCACAACCGACAGCCCTGATGGAGTCCTCTAACTGAACCCAGGGTCTATTGTTCGATATGACCGGGTGTTTATGTTGTGCAGTAAGGCCAGTGCAGCATGTATCTGGAGACTGCTGAGTTGTATTCACCCAGGTTCACAGCCCACTTTCATATTAGCTGTTTTAACATTTCACTTAGGCCCTGTTTACACAACACTTTTTTTTTGTGAAACGTTCGGTCGTTCATTTACACAACAGCTCTTGTTCTCTCTGAAACCAAAGGTTTCTAAATACTGGACTCGTCACTCTGCAGGTGTGAAGTCACACATATGCACTGCAGGCAGCTGTAGTCAAAAGATGTTCTGCACCATCCATCCATCCATTATCTTTACCCGTTTGTTCCATTTTGGGTCACGGGGGTTGCTGGTGCCCATGTCCAGCAATCACTGTGCGAGGGGCGGGGTACACCCTGGACGGGTCGCAAGTCCATCACAGGGCATGTTCTGCACTAACAACAGTTATAATAAATGGCAGAGAGCAGTGTTCTTTGTGCTGCTCACCCTTTGTCAGCATGTAGAAACAAACCAACAACATCCTAGGTTCGACAGAACGTTCCTGTATTCACCAGTTTGGATGTAACTGTGATCATGCCGACACCTCATGCACAATGAATGCAGCTGATCTCAGGGTTGCCAGATAAACATGAATACATTTTTTTTTACCTTTTCCTTTTCTGAGCGCATGTTCACCAAACACAAACACGAACCTCATCTTACAACACCCTCACTCAGCACATATGACAGTTTAGGTCAAAATACAATAACTTTAAAGCAACAGTACAATAATTCATTTCTTATCTGGCAACTCTAAAAAACTACAGTGATGTCATTTGTAAGACTAACCTGTGAGACTCCCACATAAAGTGATTTGGTCTCATGTTGGTCTTGTTAATAAATACGGTAACTGACATTAGATGGTATTTTTTAGCTACTCCGTTGCAGCTACCGTGGATGATTACAGCAAATTTTTCTTCCACAAGTCAAATGTACATTAACATTGTATCGAATTATACAAGTGCAATACAAAAGTAACTGAGGAACTGTGTGTTTTGGGTGTTTTCCTTTAATCTTTTGTAACAGAGCTAAATCTGGAGCCGTTCCTTTCTCACATGACTCAAGGAGTTTCTTAGATGTACTTTTTAATTTCCAAGTTACAGATTCACTCAGAAATTCAACATCAGTGGATGCAAGTTGAAGTTTTCTGTTCAGCATTTTCTGAATTGTTCGTCTTTACCACTGTTCTGTGTTCAAACAAACGTGTATTTGTTCATTAGTGTTACTGTAAAAAGGGATTTGTTGTGTCCACAAAATATTCTTATCTGTAAAGAAAA